AAATTTAACACTCGAAATACATACACTAAATTTTATTAAAAGAATAAAAAGAATATTCTATCTTCTGAAATTATGAATTGAGTGATTATTCCCGCAAGCATACATACACGCATGCGCACACGCATGCGCACACGCGAGCGAGAACACAATGGCGTGCTATGTGAAAAACAGTTTTATATTCAACGTTGTACGGAATATAAATATTAACTGTGATTATAAATCTTTTGCGGGGAGGGTCGCTTATAAATTCCGGAGTATAGCAAAGATTAGAAAATACCCATTTAATCAATAAACTTTTTCCTGCTCTCCACTCTTTGTTGGACAAATGTGTCACGTGATCTCTTCATATTGACGTCGTATTCACAATTCTCCCATGAGGTCTAGAGGACGCCACCACCACAGCGACAGGGAGATAACTCCGATAACCTTATTAAACGTCTAGATGGTGCTCGTCTTGAGCAGCATTGCTAGGAACAATAATGGGTTTGATTGGTGCCTCAACGTCTCTCTCTCTCTCTCTCTCTCTCTCTCTCTCTCTCTCTGGTACAATTTTTCTCTTTTCCTCTTACACAGACGCTTTTGCTCTTTCATATTAATTTGCTCTCTCTCCTCCTCCTCGCTCTCTTTTCACACGCACAGTTACTATCTGTTTATTCTCTTTTTCTTCCTCTTTTCCCTTCTAATTTGTCTCTCAAACTATTATATAATCTGTTTTTTATTCTCTTTCCCATTCCTTCATGATCCGTTCTTTATATATACATATATACATATATATATATATATATATATATATATATATTGTGTGTATTTAGGCAGCATCTTTTCATTCATACACGTTTCATTAAATAATATAGACAAGTGTTGTCTATATATTTTATGTAAATTTTTTTCGTAACGTCTGATAAGTTTAATAACATTATCGTTGAACGATGAAAGAAATTCACAATATTGATCCATATTTTTTTTAATACACTCTAAGCTTTCGGCTTACTTAAGCCATTATCAAAGATGTCAATTACAACATATTAAGCAATATACGGACAAGACAGTGATGATAGTCTGTCAATGTTTACATAGATGATTTCTAAGCAACGATAAACACGTGCATATAAGACGCTAGAAGCGAAAATCGCACCGCATCTCATGAGGTCACATATGACCACACAAGAGTGAATTGGAGAAGTATGAAGTATGGAAAGCCGTTGGTATAAACCAATGGCTTCTGTTACCAATTATAGACATTTATTGTTTTCATGTCAAAGTATAATTCTGTTTTTCGACAAGTATTTTACAATTCCGTAAAATACTTGTCGAAAACACAATTATACTTCGACATGAAAACAATAGACAAAAACTAAAAATCCTTGAAGCATTATACATCAAACAGTTGAAACCCAACCTAAACAAAATCAATTATGGCATCTCTACAAATATTCTTAAATGTCTATAATTGGTAACAGAAGCCATTGGTTTATACCAACGGCTTTCCATACTTCATACTTCTCCAATTCACTCTCGTGTGGTCGTGGTCATGTGTGACGTCATGAGATGCGGTGCGATTTTTGCTTCTAGCGTCTTATATGCACGTGTTTATCGTTGCTTAGAAATCATCTATGTAAACATTGACAGACTATCATCACTGTCTTGTCCGTATATTGCTTAATATGTTGTAATTGACATCTTTGATAATGGCTTATGTAAGCCGAAAAGCTTAGGGTTGTATTAAAAAAAATATGGATCAATATTGTGAATTTCTTTCTTCGTTCAACGATAATGTTATTAAACTTATCAGACGTTACTAAAAAAAATTACATAAAATAAATAGACAACACTTGTCTATATTATTTAATAAAACGTGTATGAATATATATATATATATATATATATATATATATATATATATATATATATATATAATGAAGGCAAAGGAAAACTTATCTGAGCCCTTATGTCTTTATTTATATTATCCTTTTAAAGATATATTCTACCTGAAATGAAACACACACACACACACATACATACATATATATATATATAATATATATATATATATTTGGTAAAATATATTTTAAAGGTATGCTATATTTATGGTTTAAAGTGCTCAATATCAGGAATAGCGAGTCTGTAGATATAAAAGTGGACATAGACATCAACACACAGCGGTGACAGTCGGCTTCATGCTTAGGCGCAATCTTTAAATAGCAACGTCTGTTTATCTCGGCTTCTTCAGGTTGGAATGAAAGAAAACTCTGTGTAAGTAAAATGCGTTGTGATTTTGAGCGGATTAGATTGAATTATCTTATCAAATCCGATGATCAGAAACCAGGAAATGTTTATTTGTTTGTATGTTTATGTATAAGACAATGGAAAACGAATTTTTTCGTGTCACGCATTTCGGTCTTCGGGATTTTGAGAGGTTGGAAATTCTATGTTTTAAATCATTTTTTTTTCATTTTTTTTAAATTTGTTTTGAGTATATAAACTAGATTCTTTTTGTTTTAATTAAATTAGATTCTTTTTTTCTTTTTTTCTTTTCATCACTTTTTTGTCATGAGATAGTCCACATTGTCAGAGGAGTAGATCTGCCAAGAACAGTTACAACATATCACCATTCCTGGCAGGTCTTATATTATTACATCGTGGGATATCTAATAACAAAAGTGATGGAAACAAAAACGAATCTAAATGAAATCGGTTAGATTATATACGCAAAATACATAAAAAAAAAAATGAAAAATAATTTAAAATTTAGAATTCCCAGCATGTTTCGTTCGTGGCCATGTTTAGTCAGACAAACGTAAACAAATTTAGTCCGATGAAGTCCTGAAGGACAAAACGAAGCGAGTCAAAGAAAATTTTCTTCCACTTTGGCATAATTCTTTCTCAAAAATTGTTCTTGATATCTAACAGTTTTATATCATTATTGACTGATATTGAGCGCTTTCCAATAAGTACCACGCATATATAATATATAAATAATATATATAATAAATTGCATATATATATATTTATATTTATATACATTCTCATTCATATATATATATATATATATATATATATATATATATAGCATAATTCTTTTCTCAAAAATTGTTCTTAATATCTAAGAGTTTTTGTATATCATTATCCCATATATATGAGAAAGAATCTTTGAGGAAGAATTATGGCATATATATATATATATATATATATATATATATATATATATGTGTGTGTGTGTGTGTGTGATATATATATATATATATATATATATATATATATATATATATATATATATAAAGAAAAATATCTGGAAAAACAAAACAAAATCTTAAAATGCGATTATGTTGTTTTAATATGAATGCATTCATATTAAAACAACATAATCGCATTTTAAGAATTTTTGTTTTGTTTTTCCAGATATTTACTTCATTCTGTCGGATTTATATCCATTTATATTTGCTTATCATATATATATATATATATGTATGCAATTTATTATATATATTATTTATATATTATATATGCGCGGTACTTGTTGGAAAGCGCTCAATAGCAGTCAATCCCACGATATATATATATATATATATATATATATATATATATATATATATATATATATATATATATATATTATAGAGCCGTCGGTTTTGTTGGATTTTAAATCACTCTACTCCGAGTAGATCTTTTTTTTTTCTTTGCTAGTTCATATACAGCATTGAGCTGCTATTGCCTTTGCAATGATCGGTGATATTATGTAAGGTCCTGGTCTTAGGTTTATTGCCAACCCCCAAAGTTTTTATTCAAAGTATGTGAATGGGTGTTGAAATTTTGGAATGCTATTAATACTAAAATTGTTGTAATATCTTTCAAAAAGTCTGGTATACCACACTTTTTGAAAGATATTACAACAAGTAACGACATGGATGGTAGTGAGGATCATTTATTGTGCATGACTGACACCAGTGACGACTCTGCAAATGATAGTTTGGAGCTTTTACATGAATCAGGCGGTGTCGAATTCTTGGGATTTGAAAATGATTACAAGTTCTTTGATTGATATTTTTACATGCATATATTTTTTTTTAATTCATTTGTATGAAAATAAAATCCCCTTGGACAATGAAAGTTGTCTAGTATATTTACTAACCACCAACTAGTATGTCATTGCCATACAAACAAATTTGAATCAGTGATAAATGTAAACAATACGTGACGCCAGTATGTGAGGAACGTATGGTAAATGTTTTACAATGTATTTAAGTCTTACTTTTTCACTTCTTTTTTCTCTCTTTCTCTTTCCCCGTCTCTCTCTCTCTCTCTTTCTCTTTCCCCGTCTCTCTCTCTCTCTTTCTCTTTCCCCGTCTCTCTCTCTCTCTCTCTGTGTCATTTTTCTCTCTGTCTGTTTCTCTTTCCCATTTAATTCAAGATTTTTATCGCTTTTTCCGTTTCCTTTTTCTATTTCTTTTTTCTTTCACTAGTACTAACACTTCTCTCTCTGTCTTTCTCTCTATCTTCTCTCTCTCTCTCTCTCTCTCTCTCTCTCTCTGTCTTTTCCTCTCTCTCATTTTTGTAAAGATTTTTAATCGACTTTTCCCATTTTCTTCTATTTCTTCTTCCTCTCTCTTTCTCATATTTCCCCCTTTTCCATATCTCTTTTCTTCTCTTCTCTCTTACTGTCTCCCTCACTCTTGCTCATTTTCTCTATAAATATTTCCCCTCTCCCCTTTTTATAAAGATTTCTTACATTTTCTCCCATTTCTCTCTCCTCTTCTCATAGTCTCTATACCATCTTTCTCTTTTTCTCTTTCTCTCTTTCCTCTGTCTGACGCTCTCACTTTTCTACTTTCCCCGTTTCTTTTTATACCGATCAATCTTTCTTGGAGAGGAGATGGGCACCGCTAAGATATCTGTAAGCCCACTGAAAGGTTCACGGGAAAGGCAAATCAAGACAACATCATTCCGGGTCGATCGAAGCCCGGATCAACATCGGCCGCGCGTCCCCATTGACTCACTTCAGGATGGGCGCAACAAATAGGGCGACTGGAGCCACAAACAGCATCACGCAACCAATGCAAGGTTCAACCATCGGAACGTGGAGAGTTCGCACCCTCTATGCTTTGTGAGAAAGAGTGGAGGGACATGACCAATGCTGGAACTGTTGAGAGTCACCGCCAATAGATCATCCTGTGGGAGAGAGGCTGTTTCTTCTACCCTCAGGTTCACCCCGCCGATTGAAGCAGTCTTTTCCTCTCTTCTCTTTTTGCAAAGCTTATTAAAAAAAATTCTATTTCATCTTCCTCTCCCTTTCTCTCTTTTCTTCTCATATTACTTTCTCTCTCTCTCTCTCTCTCTCTCCCCCCCATCCTTTCTAATTTTCTATCGATATATTTACCCCTTTTTAGAAAGATTAGCGTTTCCGTCCATTACCCTCTCCCTTTCTCATATCATCTATACTCTCTTATTTCTCTCTTTTCTTCTTCTCATTCTTACTTTACCTCTCTTTGTTTCTCTCTCTTTCTCTTTCTCTCTTTTTCTTTTCATATCGATAAATCTTTACATTCTTTACTTTCCTTCTTTATTCTTTTCTATCTTTTTCTCTCCCCTCTTTTTGAAATTGTCTTTTTCTATTTCATCTTCCTCTCCCTTTCTTTCTTTTCTTCTCTCTTACTTTCTCTCTCTCCCTCTCTCGTTTGGTATTTTCTCTATATATATTTCCCCCTTCTCCTATTTTTATAATGATTTCTATCCTTTTCTCTCACTTCTATCTCCCATTTCTTAAATTATCTCTTTTCTCTTCTTTCTCTCTTTTTCTTCTTACTTTCTCACTGTCACTCCCTTCTTTTCTTTTTCTTCTTTTTTTAAGTGTTCTTTTCATATAGATTAATCTTTCCCATCTTTACTTTCCTTGTATCTTTTACCCTCCTCCCATTTAAAAAAATTCTTTTTCTATTTCATCTTCCTCTCCCTTTTTCTCTTTGCTTTTTTCTTCTCTCTCTCTCTTTCCCTTTCAAATTTTCTCTCTACAGATTTTCCCATCACCCTTTCTATAAAGACTTTATCATTTTCTTCCTTTTCTCCCTCCCATTTCTCATACTGTTTATATCTTCGTCTTTCTCTCTTCTTCCTCCCCCTCCTACTTTCACTCTTTTGTAAGTGTCCTTTCCAGATCAATTAATTTTTCCCTTCTTTATTTTCCTTCGATCTTTTATTCTCCCCTCTTTTTTAATTTTCTTTTTCTATCACATCTTCCTCTCTCTTTTCTTCTCTCTCTCCTTGTTAATATATATATATATATATATATATATATATATATATATATATATATATATATATATATATATATATCAGGTCATCCCATAAGTTCTGTCCGAATTTTGAATAAAGAAAACAAGTGACCAAATGTTACATTTAATTACAGATTCAATCAACAATATATTTTCCCTGATTATCAATGACTTCCTTCCATCTATTAACAAGCTTACTAATTCCATTACTGTAAAATTCTTTTGGCTTTGATTCGAAGAACTCACAAATGTCAGTTTTAACCTCTTCCTGTGTTACAAAAGCTGATTCTTCCAAATGATTCTGTAAGCTACAAAATAAATGGTAGTCTGAAGGAGCAAGATCGGGAGAATAAGGTGGATGAGGAATTTTCTCCCAACTAAGTTCTTCGATCTTTTGAGACGTGATTATTGCTGTGTGGGGTCGCGCATTGTCCTGATGAAACATCACCTCTTTTCGATTCACTAGAGCAGGTCTTTTTTTTCCTCAAAGCTTGGTTGAAACGCTCTAATTGCTAACAGTAAATTTGAGCATTAATTGTTGCATTAGGTGGTAAGAATTCAAAGTGGATTATTCCTTGGCGATCCCACCAGATTGAAAGAAGAACCTTTTGCCCATGAAGTTCCCTTCTCGGCTGTGGCTGGGGTCCTTCCCCTTTACCAAGTCACTGTCTATGACGCTTAACATTACGATAAAAGATCCATTTTTCGTCGCCAGTCACAAGCCTATCCAAAAAAAGGTGAAACAAGTTGGCGAAAATGGAAAGAGCAGATGTCAACTCGGGATTTGAGGTTGTTTCCAGACAATTCATGAGGCACCCATTTTCCAAGTTTAGGAACTTTTCCAAGTTGTTGAAGATGACGATGAACAGTTGTATGGTTTGAACTGAGAACCACTGCCAATTCCTCAATTGATAAAGCAGGATTTTCTTCAAGGGCTGCTTCAAGAAGTGTTGTGGTAGGATCCACCTAATTTGCATAGTGGAGTACCGACCATATAAATATGGTTTGGTATATTTTTTAATCCTATCTCATCTTTCGGCTAACATAAGCCATTATCAAAGATGACAATTAGATTACAATATATTAAACAATACACGGATAAAACAATAATGATAGTCTGTTTTTGTTTACATGGAAGATTTCCAAGCACCGAAAAACTCGTGCATACGAGACGCCGGAATCAAAAATCGCACCGCAGCCCATGACGTCACACATGATAACGCGAGAGTGAAAACGAGAAGTATTAAGTATGGGAAGCCGTTGGTATAAACCAATGGTTTCAGTTATCATTTACAGGCATTTAAAAATAATTGTGGAGATTTCATAGTTTATTTTGATCAGGTTAGGTTTCAACTGTTTTATATATGTAGCTTCAAGAATTTTTAGTTTTTGTTTATTGTTTTCACGTTATATATATATATATATATATATATATATATATATATATATATATATATATATACAAATAATAGAAAGAGCAGATGGAGTAAAATTCGATTGTTCGTAGCATTTACTTTTTAAAAAGTGCTCAATACAAAGTAGAACAATATATTGTTATTATATTTTTATTATAAGAGATTATAATAAAAGCTTGTTGAAAAAGCTTTCATGTTTCATTCAATACTTTCATTGTACTTCATCAGGCGATAGTAAGAAACTGATGATAAAATGATTTTTTAAGAAAATTTAAGAACAAATCGTTAACTCTTTTCTGAAGGTTAAAGGGGGGTGCATAAGGTCAGAATTAAAAATAGACTTGTGGGTATGTCTTGATTAACCAATTAAATGTCAGATCTGCGCTGAATAGAAAAGTAAGCTCAGAGGGTGAAGGTGGGTGAGTTATTTTATCACTTTCTCCCTTTTCACTCTCTCATACAATGCATATCCTCTTTTTTTCTCTCTTCAACCTCTTACTTTCAATCTATCTTTTCGTTTTCTTTTCTTTTTTTTTTCTTAGTTATTTTACTCATCATCATCCTCTTTTCTCTGTCTTTCTCTCTCTCTCTCTCTCTCTCTCTCTCTCTCTCTCTTTCTTTCTTTCTTTCAGTCTCTTGTGCTGCCACTCCCATCTTTTTCTTTTCCCTCTTTTCTCTCTGTTTTTCATCTTTTATTTTGCCCAGGTTTCTTTCGTTTTTGCAAACATTGATTGCTTCCTTTTCCTCTTTTCCTTTTCTTTCTTCCCTTTCTTCCTTTTTTTTTCTTTCTTTCTTCTCATTTTATACATCTACCATCACAGACACGACCGACGTTGCACTTCCTTGATTTCAGCTTTGGCAATTTGAGACCGTCACACATTTTGCACATCTCGTCATGCTATTGATCACTCCCTATCTGACCAATCAACCGGTACGTCAGGCCCTTAGCAAAACAAGAAGGCGTCTTCGTTTATCAAGAGACTATAAAACTAGATGTTTCGCAATGCCGTCCAAACTCTCTGCTTTCAAATTGCGAAATTAAAGTCTTTCTTTCAATTTATCCATATTTATATCCACACGCAGACAACATAAAATTTAGCTCAGTTTGTTAGATGAAAACGCCGATAAAATGGTCATGCTTCTCGACGAGGCTTCTTTTCAATGGAAGGCCATATTAAAACTGACAGAAGAAAGATAAGGGAATCATATTTATTTAGGCAAGCCAGTTCAGGGAGAACAGACAGAAATATCACGAAAAACAGAGTAATATCCACCAGGACCAAAAGATTGTAATGCTACGATTTCATGTTTCCATTTCATGTCTTAGAAATGAAAGTTCTTCCGATTGACCGCCGTCAAGAACTTAAAGAAATTAATTATTTTTGCCATATCTGGACTTGAGTTTCCCAACCCTCACTTTCCAGTCTAGACAAAGTTCAAAAGAGTTTACGCAGCCTTGTGAGTGATGAATTATTTTCCAAATTTCAATCCATCTTCCACAGACGAGACGTAGAAAGCTTCTCGCTACTCTGTCACTATTTACATGGAAATATTCTGACTACACTCAGCACAGACATTTACACGAAAGATCTATCGTGCATATAAGCAGGAGCAAACTATCCTAATTCTCTTCGTATTCCATTTGTAAGAAGGAAGTTCACTTCTGACAGATTCTTCCCAAGAGCCACTACTTTATGGAACAGACTCCCGACAGGTTGCTTCCTCGAAAACACCAATCTTAACCTCTTTAAGTCTAGGGTCAAATGCTACCTACCGAACCTATCTTCATAATTTGCATTTACGTTTCTCTATCTCCCCCTACGTCCATACAGTAAGTTTATTTAGTAACCCTATACGTCGAGTAGCTCTTGGACATTGTTTAAAGTGAAAATTTAGTAAAGAAAATGTAAACAAAGATTTTTTTTTGTAAATTTAAATGTAAGGTCAATCGTTATTTCCTGTCCGAACAATTACCATGAAATTGGATAAATGTAACAGTAACTTCTATGTTAACAGTTTCTTTTCTCGCACTTCCCGCTTGTGGAACTCCCTTCCGGCTCCATGCCTTCCAGCCAATTTTAATCTGCAAAAATTTAAATACAATATCAATCGCTACGTACTGTCCTCCTGTTTGCCCTTCTCTTGTTTTCGCTCCTTGGTAATATTTCTGTTTTTTAATTCTCCCATGCCCACTAATTTGTCTTATTTTGTTTAGCGGCTTTATTGCCTTTTGGGTGTTGAAATTGATTTTTAAAAAAATACACCGTCTTTGGCTTTTTGTTCCAGTGGGTGTATAATATAAGTTATATCCGTGGTTTTGCAAGTTTTTTTTTTTTTCCCCAGTCATGGTTCTCCTTCACCCCCGCCATAAGTTGCCATCGGAAGACACACTACGTTTCAGTGGGACTATCTCAATAATTTGACAATGCAATAGGTTTCCTTTAAATAGAAACCAGAAAAACAAGTAGTAGGCATTTTTATAGTCAATCCCGTGTATATGTTGACTCTAGAGCCGCAAAAGAACGGCGTGTCAAAAAGGACGGCTTTTCACTTAACACTGTTATTATTGTAAACTCTCTCTATTTTCGGGGACAGTTGTTAAACTTTATTAAATCATTCTTGAAAATATGCAATCTAATAAATAATGTTTAACATTTTTGGGGTAGGCTTCAAGAAATCGGCAGCCATTGGCAAATATATATGAAACCCTTCTCCAAAACTTCGAAAAACGAATCCGCGGCAGACAATTTTGGCGGTCAACCGCTAGAGACTAAAGGTCCATAAAAATGTAACAATTTTCACACAAACCGTCTGTACTTCAGATAAATAGATTTCTCTCAAAAAAATGTGTGTTAAAAATCAACCTAGACGATTATACATTTAATTTTAACATTTTTAAATATAATAAAAATAAAGAAATAGTCTATTAGACGCTTACCTTTTCTGTTCCGTAACAATTTTTTGACTCAATGTCACTGATCAATTAAGCCTGTAAATGAAAAAAAAAATCTGTAGAAATTATGCTCTATCTGTATACATTTCGGCCTCTATATCTCTGAGATGAGGTATTATGATTACTTACATTATTTACATTATTCGGACTGTTATCCTCATCTTCATTGATGTTGTAACATGCCTACGGACAATAATGGGTATGTCCCCATTCATAATAAATACAGTAGTAAATACTGTATGTTGGTCTGCAGTTGGAGATTCATTGTGAAATTCACTTGACTCACTTCTAGCAGTTGACTACTTCTACGCGCGGCTGGTGAATCTTATACATGTTGTTCTTGTCCTAAGTATTATTGTTCATTACCAACCTTCGTGTGATTATTCTATTCAGTAACCTTGCCTAGGTTACAACAATTGCCATATTCATAACGTTTCGGCCGTTATACGCTCCGGCCTTCTTCAGGTGATTGGAATTTCGTATCGAACCCTTTATTTCGTT